CGAAATTGTACTCAAAATTACTGAAATTGCCATTGCATTAGTTCAAAATTACCCTTTTCAATTTAATCAATTTAGTTATAAAACAATGGCAATTTGAGTAATATTGGAATCAATTTTGGACATTTTTCTAAATGTACTTCTCTTTTAATATTATAGAGATTTGGTCTTGGTCAAAAATTACTAACAAATTTTTGACCAAATTTTGTTTTAGTCGATAAATGGTATTTTGACTATGTAGTGACCACTTGTATTAGTCAAAAAATTTTGATCAGCTTTCGACGAGTTTAAATTTTCATAATTTTTTGAAAATTTGTCAATAAACTTTTTGACCATTTTACTTGTAAAAAATATGGTAAAAAATTAACGTGTTTTCTTGACTAATTTTCAATCAATCTTCTTTGTCGCAATTTTTCGACCACTTTTTGACAAGTTTATAAATCCGTTAAAAATTAATCGGAAAATTTCGACCTGTTTTCGACTCTTATATTTCGTCATATTTTTTGACCAATTTATAACTAAAATAAACATTCGTCTTATATTGATCGAAAATTGCCAAAATAGTTTTTGACCACAAAAAAATTGGTCAAAATTTGATATGTTTTCTTGTAGTTCCAGACAGCTCCAGCAGTTCTCACTGGTTAGATCAGGCGTGCATTGAGCCACTACATAAACCGATTGGGGCGATGTAAAATTCGCCTTCTTAGCCGAAAACTTTCTTGGACTAGAAGCAGCTTCGTTCAACAAAGACAAGAGTACCTTATTGATCCGGTCTGATTGATTTGCCTCAACCTTCTATTCATTCATAAGTAACATTCCACTACTAGTTATAGGATTCAAGAGAATATTCTGGTCAGAGTATCGAAGCATGCATTCGCCCTAATAAATCAAAGCCTCTTTCCCATCTGGACACTGATTGAGCGTGTCAGTCACGGCAGATTTCCAGGGACAAGTCTACACGGCAGAGGAAAAGTCCGAAAACCATGTCCGGGTTTTGTCCCTTTGTAAAGCTTTGAAATCCAAAGGAGAAGAAAGGATTTTATTAGGAAGAAAGAGAGGTCAAAAGGGTTTTGAGATGAAGAGTATGTGCTGTTTTTGAGGTAACTTCTTGATGGACAATTAAAACCAACGTACTCAGATCGGTGTTGCCGTGTTGCTGTAGTGAAGATCTCAAGATTGTAAGGAAGGTGAGGAGATAGAAGAAACCATAAGGAGACATTTTCCAATACTTCTTCACTAATTCCTTTGTGCTTTTTTTAGTTTTATTTATTTGGTAAATCTTAAGCCTAATCAAGAATGCTACACGGTATAGTTTCTTGCAAGTCCACTTCAACGCTT